ATAGAGAGGGAGAGATAAACAGACAAATTGATGAGATGAGATGCGATGAGATGGGATGGGATGAAATGAATAGATGGATGGATGGATGATTAACACTAGAAATGAGAGAGAGAGAGGGGGGGGGAGCGAGCGAGAGAGAAAGAGCTCTCTGGTCCAGTCCAATGGAGGAAGAAACTATCAAAGACATAGGGGACCCCTGCCCCCCCTTCTGTTTAACTTAGGAAACTTTACTTCTTGGTGGTTTTCTGCTGTCTGTTTGGTTGATCAGAGTCCCCAGACAGGTCAAGGTGTTCGGCCCCAGGTATGGCCTGGGCCTCGGAGGTCTTCTAACCTAACCCACTGCTCAAGCAGGAGACCCTGGGCCATTTCAGGCAGACCACTGCCCAATCTCTTATTTACACACTTATACCTCTGGACTAAGTTGCCAGCCCCACCTGAACAAATTTCTCCTTGCTCGTCTCTAGATCTCGGAGCTCTTGAGTCAACGAAGACAACATCTGGTTGGTGGAGTCCAACGCTCGGACTTGGACAAAGCCGGCCTCTTCCAATAACTATTGGATAGCAAATGACAAAACACACACAAACACACACACACAGACTGTCAGGCCTGCAGCCATATTCCTTTTGGATCTTCGGCCTGCCACACTTTCTATTATTCTACTACACCTTTTTCTATGGTGGGAAAATGGGAGGTGGGGATTGTATGGAGTTAGATGCTATGTAGCCATAACAACATTCTTTCTAGAAAGCCAAGGTCATCCTTTGTCTCTGCACCTGATCGGAACTGGATGGGTGGAAGCTGCCAGTGTGGCAGTGGGAGATGGGACCATGGGATGGACTTGTGGGTGTGGGGGAGAAGATCTTGAACGTTCATGACTTTGGAACGGTCATGAAATGAATGGTCGTAAGTCAAGAACTATCTGCAGTGATGGGGCCCTGAATCCAGACATTTCTCCCGCCTTGCGTAACGTTACCTGGCCATATTCATCCGGGGTAAGCAGGTTATACTTCCTCTGCTTGACGTACTGGGTGAAAGCGATGGACCACGGACGAGGCCCACAGCAGTAATCCGAGATCAGAAGCTGCCCGCCAGGTTTCAGCCACGACTAGGAAGAAGTCAGAGATGGCGGTGTAAGATGGACAGTTGGCTTCAAGACTGCATTTCTCAACGTTGGCAGCTTTAAGACAGCTGGACTTCCACTCCCAGAATTCCCCAGCCAGCATGCTCAGGAGTTGAAGTCCATCTATCTTAAAGCAAACTGCCTGGGGAATTCTGGGAGTTGAAGTCCATCTATCTTAAAGCATCTGGCTGGGGAATTCTGGGAGTGGAAGTCCATCTATCTTAAAGCATGCTGGCTGGGGAATTCTGGGAGTGGAAGTCCATCTATCTTAAAGCATGCTGGCTGGGGAATTCTGGGAGTGGAAGTCCACCCACCTTAAAGCAGGCTGGCTGGGGAATTCTGGGAGTGGAAGTCCATCTATCTTATAGCATGCTGGCTGGGGAATTCTGGGAGCTGAAGTCCATCTATCTTAAAGCAAGCTGGCTGGGGAATTCTGGGAGTGGAAGTCCATCTATCTTAAAGCATCTGGCTGGGGAATTCTGGGAGTGGAAGTCCATCTATCTTAAAGCAAGCTGGCTGGGGAATTCTGGGAGTGGAAGTCCATCTATCTTAAAGCATCTGGCTGGGGAATTCTGGGAGTGGAAGTCCATCTATCTTAAAGCATCTGGCTGGGGAATTCTGGGAGTGGAAG